CATTTCCATTTTTGTTTGGTGTTCATTCCTTCATTGTGAATTCCAATACGAACATAAACTTGGTTCTTCTATGCTTTATGTTTTTATCAAGAAATGTGATCCTAGTGAAGTTGAAAAATATGAACACAAGTACTCGTTGATAATCAATAGGAAGAACAGAGGATTTCTACAAAGAACAGACTTGTTAGATTCACAAATATATATCAAGCAAACAAGAATAAACCAGAAAGATCTCTTTTTGTTTTCCATTTGCTATGTAATATGATTAGTCCGTCTCTTGTGGGCTTCAAAGGCTGTTCCTTGTAGAGTTAGAATTCTTAAAGCAATAGGATTCAGTTTTGAAGTATGAAAATTACAAAATCCAGTATACAAAAAAATATTAAGTTGTTTTTTCAGCAGCCTAATCATCTGATAGATGCTAATAAATCACATATCCTTGTGAATCTGTTTCACATTAATTAGTCTTTTTATTTGTTGTAGAAATATCTAACATACTGATAAAAATATGGTTTATATCTTGTTCTGATATTTCTTTTGTTCCTTGTGCTAGACGATGGAAGTTGAGCTGACAAAATTATATGATACTGTCTCATCCATTCATGATGAGATGTTTTTTCTTCGTGAAAGGTATAGCCACGCGTCATCCAACATTTTAGAAGCTTGTACATCATTAAGTCATTTGAGTCGGAATATTGGACCCCATTTCTCCTGAGATTTCTTTGATGGAAATAGCCAGCATGTTTTGTTATATGTGAAGTTCATTTTCTCCCCATTTTTCTTTTCAATTCTCCCCCTTTCGGTTGTGGTGTTTCAGGGAGGAAGAAATGCAACAACTTAACAGATCAACTAACTCCAAGATGGCGACTTTTAGCTTCCTTTCCCTTCTGGTTTGCCTGTCAGTGGCCGGTTTGCAACTATGGCACCTCAAGATGTTCTTTGAGAGGAAGAAGCTCCTCTAGTTCCACTTCGTACTTATTTCCTTAACTTTTTGTACTGCAGTTATATACATACTACTTTTCCCGGTATTACGAGGCCGAATTATATGTTGCGCAGTGGTTTGTTCCACCGAGAGGTTAGCTGCTAGAAAAGAATCCTATCAAAGTTTTGGTGTGTTCTGTTGAAACTGGTTCTGTACTTTTCCAGATCAAGGGAACTAACTTATCAAGATCATTTGTAGTCACTTTGAATACTGACTTACATGCAACACTCAATGTTGATGACTTCATTTGCTCTCTTTTTGTTGAAGTACTTCATTTGCTCTTTAACCAACAGATGATATTGATTCAAATTATATATATATATATATATATATATAGAGAGAGAGAGAGAGAGAGAGAGAGAGAGAGAGAGAGGAGAAAATGATTTCATTTACCATAATTGATAAGCATGCAATGGTGGTGATGATAATTTCCACCAATAAAATGGATTGTAAGAATTTTTTTATGGAAACTATTAAAGAAAAGATCAGCTATATGATATAAATGAAAATGAAATATTAGTATTGAAAATTTGTAAATTCATTGAGGGGAAATAACAAGAGCGAGCCAAGAAGGGAAGAGAGAAGGGAAAAAAAAAAGGTACAGAGAGTTTAAAATACCGTTAAAAAGAGTGAGACCAATTGAGTCAGTGACCATAAACCTATGCTACAGCCAGAGCAACAACAATGGCAGGTAAGCCTGAGTTTCAGCCTGGGCTACATGGCCCAGAACTGCCTCTCCATGAGACACCTCAAGCAAATCCACGCCCGCTCAATCGTCACAAACCTACACCACCACGCCATCGTCTTCGCCAAGCTGTTCCGCTTCGCCGCTGTCTCCCCCTCCGGTGACTTAAACTACGCTCACCGCCTGTTCTGTCAAATGCCCCAACCAACCACTTTCTTGTACAATACCCTCATGCGGGGTTACGCTAAAAGTTCGTCGCCTTCGCAATCGGTTCTTCTGTTTAACCAGATGAGGCTAAACAGCCTCAGCCCAGATGAGTTTACCTTCACATTTTTGCTGAAATCGCGGTCAAGAATGAAAATTGATGTGCCTTCGATAATGGCGTCCGATGAGATTCATGGGGTCGTGTTAAAGTTTGGGTTTTGCTCACATTTGTTTGTACAGAACGCATTGATTCATATATACGGGGCGAGAGGGATACCGCTTGCGGCAAGGCGAGTTTTCGATGAGGCGGTGGCTCCAGATGTCGTTTCTTGGTCGGGTATGGTTAGTGCGCATGTGAGAGCGGGGGAATTGGACTTTGCACGGCAGGTGTTTGATGAGATGCCTGAGAGGGATGTGGTTTCTTGGACCGCTATGATTTCTGCCTATTCGCAAGCAAAGTATTCGAGGGAAGCGCTTGAGTTGTTTTGGGAGATGAATCGCGCGGGAGTGAGACCCGACGAGGTCACCATGGTGAGTGTGATCTCAGCTTGCACGGATTGGAAAGATGTGCAAACGGGGATATGCATCCACCAATATATTGATGAGAATGGGTTTGCATGGATGGTTTCACTTTGCAATGCTCTAATTGACATGTATGCAAAGTGTGGATGCATGGATCGAGCATGGCAAGTATTCAATAAGATGAACCAGAAGAGCTTGGTCACTTGGAATTCGATGATTTCAGCTTGTGCAAACCATGGCAATGCTGATGATGCATTCGGTTTGTTCGATAGTATGATTAGTGCCGGCTTTCCTCCAGACGGGGTCACGTTTCTAGCCCTTTTAGTTGCTTATACACACAAGGGATTGGTAGACGAAGGGCTCTGGCTATTTGATAGAATGCAAAAAGACTACAGAATCGAGGCACAAATTGAGCATTACGGGTGTGTGGTAGATATGTTAGGCAAGGCAGGGCGGTTGGAGGAAGCATACAATTTGATTAGCAGTATGCCAGTTCCAGGAAATGATGTCGTTTGGGGAACGCTCCTCACAGCGTGCAGAACTTACGGTGATGCTGATATGGGCGAGAGGGTTGTGAAGAGGCTGTTAGAGTTGAAGCCAGATGAAGGTGGCTACTATATTCTCCTTCGTGATATTTATCTTGCTGCTGGAAGGACTGCGGAAGCAAATGCTATGAGGCAAACCATGATGGTTAACGGTGCTAGTAAGACTCCTGGATGCAGTTGGGTGGGAGCATAAGGTTTAACATCAAATGCTCTGTCCGCCCTGATCGTCCTGCAGTTAACAGATCCTGTTTTTGATGTTCTCCTCAGAGATGAATCCAATCAGTCTTCCAATAAGTAGGGGCACATATTACCAGTTCTTGTTTTTTGGTGGTTATGGAGTCTAAAGAGCAATGAAATGTGGTAAGAAAGAAGATGAAGGATATGCGTGGGACTAGATTAAATTAAGATGAGTTGCATTTACAATCAAATTTAATCGAAGTCATGACTGATTATCATACAAAGCAACGTATACCAAATAATTTCAGTGCAGAGTTGAGCTGTTGGGGGCTAGAAACCGATTCTAATATATACACTCTTTGACTCCTAATTTCTGAAAGTGACTTCATTTTTCAGGTTCCTCGTTATGAATGACATTGGCACACACGGCTCTAGAAACTGAAAATGTACAAACACATTGTACTAACATACACTAGAATGCTTTTCACACCATAATAACTCTTATTAAACACCATTTCCAGGCATATTCATCATCTGTTAAAATAAACGCATGTAACAAGACACTCCAATCCAGAAGTCTGGGTATTTATTTAGAAGCCACAAGTCAACACACAAACAGACACTCAACCTGAGATTTTAGTTTAGAGCTTAGGATACTCAAACATGCAACAGAGAATACCACTCAAAGGAAATACACGCCCAAACCCTTTATTTAGCATCAAAGTATGGCTATGGCGATGGCATGCATCCCCTTAAGGGACAAGGATTATGATCATTCATCGTCATAGCTCTTGCGGTGGTGGTGCTTGTGGTGACGTCGTTTTTTCTCCTCATCATCATCATCCTCATCCGAGTTGTCATTTCCCTGCCATATTCATTTGAGAGAATCAGATAAAATAAACAAAAATAACCAACAGGGTTCGAAAAACAGATACGTGTTCTACACTTTTAATCCACCTTCACCAGAGGCGCAGCTACTACACTACATGCATCTATTAGATTCCCTCACCAACAGCATTGAACTTACAACAGAGTAAACAGTTTTCACCAAGAATTTATCCAAATGATCCACAAGCCAAAGCATTAGGAGGAGGATATGGAAACATCATAGACCTAAAGTCACCTTCAGAGATTCGAGCTTGAAAAAAAAAAGTTTGTGCCTTGAGAAGGATTAAAAATGTTTTCGGATTCAAATGGTGATAAAAACCAGAAAAACAAAACCAGGATGTGTATCTCCGGAAGATATATTTTGACTCATTATTGCAACTACAACCCCAAAAATTTTATGCACTAACTTATGATACTGTAATGAAGATGGACCACATGAATTGTTTAGAGCTAATCACATAAGCTCTGCTCTCATCTTATACTAAATGAGTGCCAATGCAAATAGATCAATCCAAAAATGTTTTCCAACCAAAAATATAAACAGTTACTCAATGCATACGCAGAAGATGATTTCCATGATGCGTAATTCAAATTGATAAATTAGCTAAAGAGGATCATTATAATTTAAAAATACCATGATTTGTATGCATATAACGGCACACTGGAAATGGGGATACGTACATTATGAACATCATGCATGAAGATGGACAAGCAAACAAACAACAATCCACATGACTCAAACTTATATCATAGAGACGCCTAAATGTAAACACATAATTAGAAAAAGGAGTTTTAAAGCTCGAGGTTCTCACATATTTCTTGCGACTATAGCCCTCCTCACGAGAACCATACTTAGGACGCTCAGCTTCATCATCATCACCGCGCCTCTCATAACCACCAGGCCTGCGGTACTCCTGCTCCTCGCTCCTCCCATAACTGGGCTTCTCATACTCCGCGCTTTCCTCCCCCTCATAACTGGGCCTCCCATAGCTGGGCCTTGGTGGTGGCGGCTCATCGCCGTAGCCAGGCGTGCCATAGCTGGGCCTCGGCGGCGGCTGCTCATCTCCGTAGCCAGGGCTCCCATAGCTGGGTCTTGGCGGGGGCGGCTCATCTCCGTAGCCAGGCCTTCCATAGCTGGGCCTCTCCTCGCTTTCTGGGGTCTCATAACTAGGCCTCCTCCGCGGCTCTTCGCCATAACCAGGTCTCTCAAACTCAGTCCTCCCATAACCCGAACTCTCATACTTGGGCCTCTCCTCACTTTCTGAGGTCTCATAACTGGGCCTCCCATAGCTTGGCTTTCTCGGCGGCTCATCTCCATAACCAGGCTCCTCGCCATAACTCGGCTTCCGATCATACCCAGACCCGAATCCAGCTCCCGGTGCTTCGAACTCAGGCTTTCGCCCATACCCAGATCCATGCTCAGATTCGGGAGCCTCGTACTCGGGCTTTCGCCCGTACCCAGATCCATACTCGGGTTCAGGCGTCTCGTACTCGGGCTTTCGACCGTACCCGGATCCATACTCGGGTTCAGGCGTCTCGTACTCGGGCTTTCGACCATACCCGGATCCATACTCGGGTTCAGGCGTCTCGTACTCTGGCTTTCGGCCATACCCAGATCCATACTCGGAACTGGGCTCATCGGACTCTGGTCTCCGTCGATACCCAGAACCGTATTCCGAACCGGGCTGTTCATACCCCGGCTTCCGACCATACCCAGACCCATGGCCCGAATCGGGCCTCTCGGATCCATACTCGGGTCTATCCTCTCCGCCAGGCTGGAACCCATAAGCCGGTTGGGGCCTCCCTCCGTGCTCTCCCTCGGGATCGCCTCCACCTGGAGTGAACCCAATGGCGGGTCCCGGTCGGTGCGTGGGCCGGGCGTAGCTACTGTACTCGTTGTCGAGAGCCTCTTCGTCATATGCAGAGGGCTCAGAGTACGATGAAAATTGGGGCCGCTCATAATCGAAATCATCGGACGGCGATGAATTAGGGTAGCAGGTCTCATCCGACGGCTCGAGAGCACGGCCGTAGGTCAGAAACAAATCGTATCCGCCACCGAACGGCGTCGGATCGTACTCGTCGAAGTCGTGAACTTCGTCATCGCCGGCAGCTGTGTAGTACGGCATCGTTTTGAGGTTTCTGTGATCTGAGAAATGTGACTGTCAAAAATGAGGAGGGAGCTTGGATCCCGGGTGATCTGTATTTATAAGTCGGTGAACATTTTCTCGTCATCGTGGGATTACCGCGTCATGTCGTTGCCTCTTGCCGAGTGACAGGTGGACAGTTTTTGTTGGACAGGTGGACAGATTGAAGTAAGCGCAACCCAAAGGTAGAGTTGGGCCTACCAAGCATCGGATCATTATCCGAATTAAAGTAATGGGCCATATCGTCATTTCAGGGGGGGGCCTTGAAATGCTTTCGGCAGTAGTGGGCTATATTAATTTTTCTTTTTTCTTAATATTCACTGTAGGATAACATTTTGGAGTTGAATTGTGTAATTGTCTCTAAGAAAGGAAGAGGGGTTTGTTTCACTAGAAAAATATATATAACAAAGCCAAATGTGAACCATATATACATTAGTAACCTGGATTATGCAGGAAGGAATGATTAGGTAACTTGATAATTTATGGAAATTAAGCGTTAATCAAGAGATGATAATTAATTGGAATGAAAATCAATAACCGAATAAGAACAGGATGCTATGGCATACGCGGGTTAGGAAGTTAACCAAAATAGTGTCTTCACCTTTGAACTTAAATTCGATTTCACTCCCCACACATTATAATAGTTTAAAATATTATTTTGTCATAAAAAATAAAAGAAGAACAGAATGCTCCGGAGAATCATATACGTCGGTCACTGAATTGCTTGTTCGCTAGTGCAACATCCGGGCCACCAAGATGATCGAGTGCCTCCAGGCGAGGTAGCCTGCATGTGGAGGCAGGCAGGGGTACACAACTAAATTAAAATCACTACAACTTCATCGTCATATAAGTTAACCGACTAACAACAAACACATGCACGCATGCATATGCATATGCATATGCATATCTATTTTGGCATTTACGTAAATATAACCCAATTAAATTTAGTGAAATGTAATTAATTATGATGAGCATGTTTCTTACGTATTTCTTGCGACCATATCCCCCTTCTCCTGCAGGAGTGGGCTCCTCATCATCATAAGAATCGCTTCTCCTCCCTTCGTCGCGGCCCTGCCTCCGAATATTGTATTGATCTCCCTCTTGCGAAGGCCGGGCGTAGCTACTATACTCCTCTTTCACGGCCTCCTCGTCGTACGCGGACGGCTCCTGGTACGATGAGAACTCGGGCTGATCATAGTCCTCCTCGGGATCCTCTCCCGAGGAGTGACGGTAGCACGTCCTCTCAGATGGGGCCACAGGGCGGCCGTAGGTCAATGCCATATCGTACCCGCCCTCGTATGGCGTCGGATCATACTCCTCGAACACGTCCGCACTGTCTTCGTTGGCGTCGTTCCCTGTGTAGTACGTGTAGTAGCGCGTCATTTTGAGGTTTTGATCAAATCCAAATGTGCTTAGGAGGAGATGAATGAATATATTAAGCATTAAATATTCCTTAATTCTCTAACTATATATGTGGCGGTTGACATTTTCTCATGCGAAAACAACGTCCGACCATAACTTCTTTGGGGGTACTCACACGTGGTAGGCCTTTTGACCAACATTTGGGATGAAAATTAGGTTAAAATAAAGGGAGTTTCACTAAAACACCCAAAATGGGGGCTGAAATTATAAAAAAACCCAACACCCAAAACACTTTATAAACACACCCAAAACTCATCATTACACACTCAAAACCCATTTATAAACACACCCAAAAAATATACAATTGTTGATTTTGGGTGTGTTTCTATGTTTAAATAGTGTTTGGGTTTTTTTTTTATAAATACATGTCTAGGATTGGGTTTATTTATAAATTTGTATAAAATAAAAAGGTGTACATCTAGCTATGTTGCTATTAGATTTTTATTTTTATTTTTTTGGAATAAAAGTTTAGGGGAAGAGGAGATTACCCTATTTCAGGGTCAGGGCGTACCGAAGCCTCTTTGAGGACTTATAGAAAGGGTCTTAGCCATTTTTTTGGTTTTTACAAATTATCCACTAAGAGGGATTGTCGACAACGAAACTTGAATCTAGGTCTTGCTAGCGAAGAAAATGCTTCTTACCAACCCAACAAACCCTTGTTGGCTTATTAAATTTCTTTTTAATGTTGGAAGAGTCTAGTAAAAAAGACTTTATGGTAAATGCGTAGTTTCCGGGCTTAGAATCCTATCCTTATCAATTTTTTATTTTTGGGTAATGATTTTCTCACTATAATTTTATCCACTTACACTCCTTTTTTAGTTATAAAATGGAGTGTAAATGGATAAAATTGGAGTGAGGAAATCACTACTCTTATTTTTTTTTGTTACAAGACGGACGAACCCCAAAAGAAAAACCTAAGAATAATTTGGGCCGATACCTGAATTAAGACCCGAATAATTAGGTAATACATGAAAAATATGCAAACCGTACCCAAAGAAAAATTATGTCCAATAACAGCAAAAAAGATCAGCAACAACAAGGCCTTATTTGGGTTTCTTCAAACAAGAGCCCATTAGAAAACGGGTTAGTGGGCTACAGTTTGACAAAAAAACTACACAAGATTCCAAGGCTAAAAGTTTAACATTATCTGGTTGAGTGAGTTTTATGTCACTGTCGGTCCGTCTGGACCGTCTCTGCGTTTTATCTCAGCTATCGATTCCATCGCCACCTACATGCAAGTAAAGACAGTCGCTATTAAGCACTTCAAATTTCCCACTTTTAGAAAGTACCCAGATCAATAGAAATGGCGGCCTTTCTGCTGAGGGTGGCACAGGACGGCTCCGGCGACTACCGGACGGTGCAGGAAGCCATAGATGCCGTCCCTCTCTGCAACACGCGTCGCACTTTGATTCGTGTCTCTCCCGGCATCTACAGGCAGCCCGTGTACGTACCCAAGACGAAGAATCTCATCACTCTCGCTGGTCTGGCTCCTGAGCTCACTGTGCTCACCTGGAACAACACCGCCACCAAAATTGAGCACCACCAGGTGAGGTAGTGACCCTTTCACTTGGGTATGTGGACACGTGTCCAATGAGTATGTTTGCTGACTTTGTGGGTCGATTTTGTGTAGGCTTCTCGTGTGATTGGGACTGGGACTTTCGGGTGTGGGACAACTATTGTGGAAGGAGAGGACTTTATTGCCGAGAACATCACCTTTGAGAACTCTTCTCCTGAGGTAAAACTTTGTTTCAGTTCTTAGTTCCATTTCATTTGTTATTGTTCAAGACTGCATCTTTTGATTGCTTTTTCGATGTTAGTGTACTTCGGCATTTTGGTTTTCTGTATTTTGAAAATGTGAACCAGTGCAGTGGTAACTCGAAAGTTATCCAATTGGTTTTTTCTTATGATTGTTTTGGTTTGGTTCTGCTCTATGGCGGGTTATGAATGTCGGAGTTACTAGTTCCTTTGGATTAAGCGAGTTTTGGAAGTTCTAGTTGGGACTGAAGAAAATATAAATGATACGATAGAAAGAAGGGAAAATATGGGAAGTTAGAAGATTTTTCATTTTTCATCTTGTTTGGATTTAGGGGAAAACGGGATTATTCATATCATACAACACAAAAATCGCATTCTCTATAAAAATTTATTAACTTTTGGAGAGAATATGGAAGTGCGGAAAAGAAGATCTAAAAGTCTCTCTGCTTATCTCCATACTGGGTCATCTAAGCAAGAGAAACTTTATAACTTTTCAATTTTTTGTCTCTTCTTTTCTCTATTTGTCTCAATCCAAATATACTTTGTCATTATAGAAATTGGGGAATGCTTAAACTTAGGCTGTGGGAAATGCTTAAACTTTATTTCCCCTTCTCTCCTTCATTTCACTCTTGGGAACTTGGTTTACTATCAACATTGTGTTTAAATTTTTCTTCTCTCTTTTTGTTTGGTAGGGTTCAGGCCAAGCTGTGGCGATTAGAGTAACAGCTGATCGATGTGCCTTCTATAATTGCAGGTTCCTTGGATGGCAGGTATACCCACTGTTCCCATTTAGTTACTTTGTAGATCATAGACTTCACGAGACATCTTTTACAACAAATTGATGCTGAATATCTGAATACTTCATCTTAGTTAATTCATATTTTTAAATTTCTTGGTGGGCACAAAATGTTATTGTTTTCTTTCACTGTGTAAAAACTAGCCATTTGATAAGTGAGAGTTATCAGTGTAATAAGTGGGTTCTTTTAATTTTGATACAGGATACCCTGTACTTGCATTATGGAAAGCAGTATCTGAAAGATTGCTATGTTGAGGGAAGTGTTGACTTCATTTTCGGCAATAGCACGGCTCTTCTGGAGAATTGTCATATCCATTGCAAGGGAGCTGGCTTCATAACTGCACAAAGCAGGAAATCTTCCCAGGAGACAACAGGATATGTATTCTTAAGGTATCACACTATCTTGTAAACGAAAATAGCGAAGGAAAAAAGAAAAGAAAAATAAGAGAAGTGCCTGGTCATTGATGAACAATTTGTTGAATTGTTGCAGATGTGTAATCACTGGAAATGGAGGGACTTCTTATGCATATCTGGGACGGCCATGGGGACCTTTTGGAAGAGTGGTCTTTGCGTATACATTTATGGATGGGTGCATCAGACATGTTGGCTGGAATAATTGGGGTAAAACAGAGAATGAAAGAAGCGCATGCTTTTATGAATACAGGTATACATGTTTGACTCATCTGTTAGTACTTTAACTCAAGAGTGCCTCCCTTTAAAAAAAATGTGTTATTATTTTTCAGAGTATGGTACGGGTATGAATACCGCCAAATATGCAATAGAAAATTCATGTAACTTAAGAACTTTTCACATTAGACTCCTATTGGTATGGACTAGAGTAATTTAGATGGTTAACCTGGGAGTACCTAAAAGCAAAGTTAAACAGAACTGAGAAGCGACATATGTTTGATCAAGCTCTTTTGGAACATTTTTTAGATTCAGTGTATAAGCTTTTCTTTTCTGGAAGATAATATTCTCTCAAGATTGTCACTTTGTTTACCTGATCTTGGATGTAAGAAGAACTTCTTGAAGTACTGATTATTATTTTGAAAGCTAAAATTTCTTTTGGACTGAGTGACTAGAAGCAGAATTTGATAAGCTTGTATTATCCAATCAAAATTGCAGGTGTTTTGGACCTGGGAGTTGCCCATCAAAACGGGTGACATGGGCTAGAGAACTGTTAGATGAGGAAGCAGTCCAGTTCCTCCAGCATGGTTTCATTGACCCAGATCCAGAAAGGCCATGGCTTGCTCAGAGGATGGCGCTAAGAATACCATATTCGGCATAGAAGTTCAAATTGAAACTGACATGAGGAAGACTCCCAAAAACTGGTAGTTTGAGTAATATTGAATGATATTAGGTGAATGAATAAGATACACATCATGGCTATTTCAAATCTTGCTTTGTCAAAGAAGAGGCATTACCCGATACCTTTTAATGTATGAGCTTCCTAGCAGATGCAAGTACATGTAAATGGATGTTAAAGAATTTCAGTTGTGATGGCTGATTGTCCAAGATAATATATATTATATATTATTACTATTATTACATTTGTAAACCCGTTTTCTTTTCAGCCTTGAGATAGCAAATGGCCCATTTCAGATTGGTTATGGGACATGAAAATTGTCCTGGTCCTCTTCATCAGTCACCGCCGCGTGCATAAAGTAGCAATTTAGCACTCATGCTATTGGAAAGATCACT